ACAGAGTGCCATAGGATGTGGTGATGGGCTCTCCACTTTATTGGGGAGTAAACAGACTCATGGAGGGTCATTCCATTCTTATTTACATTAATTAAAATGTGCACATCTCACCTTCCTTCCATTAGACGATCTCAAGGTGGCTCAGAAAAGTAAAGGAAGAGAAATCTGGGTGCTTCTGTTAGCCATGGTGAATAAATGGAACGTCCACATTCCCCAGACCTGGATGGCCGAGGCTAGCACAGTCTCCTCGGATCTCAGAAGCTAAGCAGGGTCAGCCCTGGTTGGTTCTCACATGGGAGACCACCAAAAAAGTCCAGGGGTTGCTATGCAGAGGCAGGCAATGGCAGACCAACTCCGAAGGTCTCTCCCATTGAATAACTTGTGGCTTCACCATAAGTCAGATGTGACTTCACTGCACTTTACAACCCACCCACCCCTTGCCATATTCTGGGTTAGCAGACCTCTGAAACCGCATTGCTAGGGGGCAATAGTGTGGGCTCTGTGCCCCTGCATAAAGGCTTTCCTGGGGCATCTGGCAGGCCACAGTGAGAGAGAGGATGCTGGACTACAGATGCCAGGCCATGGCTGGGTACTCCCATGAGGTTGGAGGGTGGAGCAAGGGTTGGATGTGATGTCAAGTCGATGTCTCATCTCACCACCTACGTGGATGTGAAGTCAGAGCATCAGCAGGCATCCTGGAAACCCATTGGTGGTACCCTAAAGTTTCCAGAGCCTTGGGTGATGCACTAAAAAAAGAATCTGGGTTTTGGGCTGGATGTGATGGCGAATGTGTTATGCAACAGGATTTCCGGTCCTCTCTTTTTCTCCTGCCAGGCCTGACTCCAAGACGGGTGGGAGGCCCCAGCAGGCGGGAGAATGGCAAGCCTGAGCTTTTCCTCTGTTCCAGCAGGGGTGCTGTAGCCTTTGGAGCTCCAGGGTGCACAGGGCACCTTTCAAGTCTCACAGAAGGGTTGGCAGCATTTATAACATGCTGAGGCTCATGGGTACCTGGTGCTTCCCTTCCATCTCTCCGACACCTTATGAAAAGTCATTACAAATATTCTTGAGTGTAAAGAGGACAAGGTGTCACAACCCTGGGAACAGGGATGGGTGAAGCAGAATTGAAAGAAGCAAACACAAGAGGAACTCGAGGTTAACATTCATCCTTCCAATTTTGCCTCCCTTGCAGGCAGTGAAGAGATGTTGTCAACCTGTCGTCTTTTCAGAGGAGTGGAAACGGCTGCTCCACCTCTGGTCCAGGTAGGGGGGGGGGGACAGGGGGATAGCCAGGTCCCCACTTCTTTCTCAAGGAGGCTTTTGGTCCTGCTGACCGAGGAGAGACAGGCTCTGAACCCCACTCTCTTGACACATGCCAAACTCTTCATCCTGCACCCTCCCAGAATGCCCCTGTGGAGAGTGTAGTCCCTGCCTGGACTGATCTCTGACGAGGGAATCTGCTTTTCTTTTCAGTCTCCCTTTTCCTTTGAGGAGGTGGCCGTGTATTTCACCGAGGCCGAGTGGGCCTTGCTGGCTCCTGGCCAAAGAGCTCTCTACAGGGACGTCATGCTGGAGAACTACAGGGGTGTGGCCTCTCTGGGTAAGGACCTTTCATAGGTGCCGAACGTGCGAATTGCTGCCATTGGGATGATGCATGAATCAAAATATTGAAAAGCAACATGTGGTTCTGAGGACTGCCTGCCTATCTCCCCCCCCCCTCCCCACAGGGGGCCTTGAGGTGGGGGTGGCAGTGAAAACGATGGTTCAGCATGGCCAGTGTTGTGGCCATCACTCAAGCCATTCCTACAGCAGTCCCCTGGATGTCTTCAGGCCTTCCTATTAAGTGGAAATGGGTTTGAGTGCTTTCTGTGGAGCTGCTCTGCCTTGCAGGGGTGGCCTGCAGCGGGTTGTCCCACCAGTTAACACTGCCACCCAAGGGCAACTGGCTTATGCCAAATCACACAGCACCCTCTGTTGTGGTGATGGGAGTCAGTCCTCACCCCAAGAGAGTGGGATTGTATGTTACTGAAGGGATTCTCACTGCAACTGTCAGCCCAGTAAACACACACTCAGGTTCTCAGTTCAGGCACAGTTTGTTTGAGCCACAACAGGATAGAGAAAACACTGTAGTCACCTTCCATCTCCCCAAGAGGCAAGCGACCAACTCCTTCCCAACAGCTAAGTCCCTTCCATCCCTTGAGGCAGGAAACCATCTGCCAAAGAAAAGTACAAACACAGAGAGAAAAGCCAGGAACACCTGTCCACTCAGCATGCCCCGATGCCCGAGTTCTTCCAAGGCCGGCCAGCACCATCTCCCCCTGTCCCCATAGAAGAACGTTGACAGCAATGAGAACCCTCCACTGCTCTAAGGGTCTGCCAGACTAACTTCTCCACGTTTAGATTCCATCCCCCTGGTCATGCTGAACACCTGGATAACTACAGGCTTGCTGTGTGGTCACTGCGTCCTTCAGGTATTTTGGGAGGATGGAACAGGACAGACTCTTCTGGGGCCTTACCTGGACTCTTTGGCACTGCGTTTTCCTCTGGGATGGGCTTCCAGAGGGCCTTAGTCTACTGTAACAAGTTCATGACCTTGAGGCCTGATAATCAGTCTTCTGGATCTCTCTTGCTGACAATAAAATACACTTCTTTCTGAAGAGACTGGCTGCCTCTGTGCTTCTCGGAAAGTCAGAACTGCCTGGATGACTCAGATGTGGCTGTGCTTTAGACAATAGAGAGGTCCAGCTAAAGTGCAGAGAAGTGCTCAGAAATTGCAGCAAAATGGCTCTGAGCTTGAGAAAGGTTCCCCTACACTGCAAGGCTGGTTTCCTCATCTGTCATTACCTACCCCTCTCGAAAGAAACAGCACCTTTTCCAGAAACCATGGGGGGCCCCTTTGAACTGTGGAGTTCGCTTGGTGAGCTCCTGGCTTCTCTCCTCTCTTCGGAAAACATGCATTTTTTGTGGGTGGGTGGGTGTGAAAACCAGCTCCTCCTGGCTCTGTTGACAACTGGAAGGAAGCGCTCAGTGCAGTTGCAGGACTGGATGTCTTGATAACCTCTTGTATTTAATCGTCAGTTGCAGAGAATCAAAAGTAAAAAAGCACGGTAAGTCAAATGGGAATGAAGGGGGGATATTTTGCCACTTTCCCCCTTAAAATACATATGGGGAATTTGGGGAGGGGAGGGACAGATAGAATACAAAAACAGCTCTACAGGAGGGCCTGGCAGGGATATGGTGGAACCAGCGTCTCAGTTTGGGAGGAAAGATGATCGGATAAGAAAAATGCACATCCATTCCTGAGCAGTGCCTGACTGGTGCCTTGGCTTCTTGCTTGAGTGATAACTGAAACTCTTTCTTTCTTCCAGGAGCAGATGTAGAGAAGACAGCTGGGGAGTTCCAGGGGTTCTCTTTGGAAAAAGTCAAGAATGAAGATGCCGAAGGACACTTTGGAGATGGAGATGGACCCCAGGGGCAGGAGAGAAGCCAAGCAGGTAAGAGGAGGGATAAGCCCATTCCTTACTGAGGAGGGGGGTTCCGTGAAATCCCAGTCCAAGAAGAAAGGTCAATCAAAAAGAGAATGGACAAAGGCCTCCACACTAACCAGAGAATCCACTCCAGGGAAGCTGAAAGGGTGGCCTTGGCAAAGACCTTCAGTCAGAGAATGAAACTCATTTTGCAGACACAAATTCCCTTAGGAGAGAAACTGTAATTGCTTGCAGTGCAGAAAGAGCTTCCGTCAAAAGAATCTTTACTTCACATCAAAAAGTCACACAGTTGGAGAACCGTATAAATGGCTGGAGTCCAACGAAGCAACTCTCATGCAGGAGGCTTCATGTACTTTTAAAGTATATGTTATCGTAGACTTCAGCATACAGCCACTGTAATATTTGGATTGCGGATGGAACTTCAGGTGCAGATGAGACCTCCTTATGTGGGTTCTAACAGGATCTCTTTCTTTATTCCAGCAGGGGATGAATTGAGGATTGAGGAGGAGGACGAACTGCATCTCTCATGCAGGAGGCTTAATGTACTTTTAAAGTGTATGTTATTGTACACTTCAGCATACAGCGCAAAGAAGCTACTGTAATATTTGGATTGCAGATGGATATTCAGGTGCAGATCAGACTTCCTTGCGTGGGTTCTAACAGGATCTCTTTCTTTATTCCAGCAAGGGATGATCAGAGGAATGAGGAGGATGAGGAACTGCATCCTCTATCGCCAGAAGAAGTCAAGAATGAAGACTTGAGAGGAAACTTCAGAAACCAAGTTGGACCTAAGAGGCAGAAAAGAAGCCACATCATCCAGAAGAGGGGTAAACCCATTCCTTGCCAAGGGGGGGATTTCCAAGAAGTAATTCACACAGCAAAGAAAACATACAAGTGCCTGACGTGCGGAATGAATTTCTCCAATCAATCCCAGTATAATGTCCATTTACGATTGCACAGTGGAAAGAAGACCCATCACTGGTTGGAATGTGGAAAGACCATGAGGAGCAGAGCAGAGCTCCTTAGAGATCAAGGAACACAAAGAGGAGAGAGACCATATAGCTGCTCAGACTGTGGCAAGAGATTCTCAGAGAAATCAGACCTCGTTCAACACCAAAGGATTCATACAGGAAGGAAGCTACTTATTTGCTCAGGGAGTGGAATGAAGTTCTCTGTGGGAGGCAAAGGTAATATACATTTTCCAAAGGACTATATAATGAATGCATGTAAATGCTTTTCATGTGGAAACTACTTTAAATACAGATCACAGCTCCTTGTGCACCAACGAATCCACAGAGGGGAGAAGCCTTTTCAATGCTTAGAGTGTGGGAAGAGATTCAGTCATGGTGGCCATCTTCAAGAACATTTAAGAACTCACACAGGGGTGAAGCCATTTGAATGCTCAGAATGTGTGAAGAGATTCAGTCAGAGTAGTCATCTTCAAGCCCATCTAAGAACCCACACAGAGGAGAAGCCTTTTGAATGCTCAGAATGCGGGAAGCGATTCAGTCGCAGTAGCCATCTTCAAACCCATCTAAGAATCCACACAGGGGAGAAGCCTTTTGAATGCTCAGAGTGTGGGAAGAGATTCAGTGACAATAGAACTCTTCAAACTCATCTAAGAATCCACACAGGGGAGAAGCCTTTTGAATGCTCAGAATGTGGGAAGGGATTTACTCAGTTTGGCCATCTTCAAACCCATCTAAGAACCCACACAGGGGAGAAGCCTTTTGAATGCTCAGAATGCGGGAAGAGATTCAGTTGCAGTAGCCATCTTCAAACCCATCTAAGAACCCACACAGGGGAGAAGCCTTTTGAATGCTCAGAGTGTGGGAAGAGATTCAGTGACAGTAGCATTCTTCAAACTCATCTAAGAACTCACACAGGGGAAAAGCCTTTTGAATGTTCACAGTGTGGGAAGAGATTCCGTCACAGTGGCACTCTTCAAACCCATCTAAGAACCCACACAGGGGAGAAGCCTTTTGAATGCTCAGAATGTGGGAGGAGATTCAGTCGCAGTGGCTCTCTTCAACTTCATCTAGGAACCCACACAGGGGATAAGCCTTTTGAATGTTCTGAATGTGGGATGGGATTCAGACAGAGTAGCCGTCTTCAAAGACATCTAAGAACCCACACAGGGGAGAAGCCTTTTGAATGCTCAGAGTGTGGGAAGAGATTCAGGCACAGAAGCACTCTTCAGGTACATCTAAGAACCCATACAGGGGAGAAGCCTTTTGAATGCTCAGAGTGTGGGAAGAGATTCAGGCACAGAAGCACTCTTCAGGTACATCTAAGAACCCATACAGGGGAGAAGCCTTTTGAATGCTTAGAGTGTGGGAAGAGATTCAGTTGCAGTGGCGCTCTTCATACCCATCTAAGAACCCACACAGGGGAGAAGCCTTTTGAATGCTCAGAGTGTGGGAAGAGATTCAATCAGAGTAGCTATCTTCAAAAACATCTAAGAACCCACAATGGGCCCAAGGTCACAAGCATGTTTTCTGGCAGAATAGCATTTGAACTTGGGTCTCCCAGATCCTAGCCGAATGCTCTAACTGGTACACCGTGCTGGCTGTCATTCTTATGTGACAAATGGGGTCACATAAGAATGACTCCAGAGACAGTCTGTACCCTGTTGAAAAGAGGTTTAGGTATGTCATCGATAGTGAAAAACAGAAGCTCCAAAGAATTAAGTTTTTTTGAATTTTTTACAAAATTTTTTTACAGAAAAAAGATCCATGGTTAAATACCTTCAATAAGGGTTTCAAACAGTCCTTTTATTTTCCTAGCTGCGATTTCTGCGTGTCATACAAACATCTTCAAGTAGTGTTAATCCGTAATCTACAGGAATACACAAATGCTTATACACCTATACAAAACACTTAAATATTTCTAATTTCTAATTCCTAAAGGATTTTTAACGAACTCAAGCCCAGGTGTTCCCAATTAAATATCTCCAATGTAAAGAAACCTCCTTTTTGTTATACATGAGGATTCAAGTTTTTATGGCCAAGACTAAATAGATAAGATGTAGAGATGACAACAAAACTAATATATGTTAATATAGGGAACTATAAGCAGTATAGTGTGTAAGTGCTTGCAGGTTTCCCCCCCCCCCTTCTCCCCTTTTTCTAGAAGAGTGTGTAAGTATTAGTAAGGATGGAGTGTCCTGAGTGTGGATTAGAACTTTGAATGTATATTAGCCACTCCTTGGATTAATGAAACAAGGCATCTTTCAGTTGATGTTTAGAACACCCGACGTAATGTGCATATTGAAGATGAGTGAGTATTAGTGAAGATAGAGTAAAGAAATTAGAAATATTTAAGTGTTTTGTATAGGTGTGTAAACATTTGTGTATTCCTGTAGATTACTGATTAACACTACTTGAAGATGTTTGTATGACACGCAGAAATCGCGGCTAGGAAAATAATAGGACTGTTTGAAACCCTTATTGAAGGTATTTAACCATGGATCTTTATTCTTTAAAAAATTTTGTAAAAAAGTTTTGTAAAAAAGTTTGTAATAAATTCAAAAAAAGTTTGAAAAACATATTAATGTTTTTGTGTGCAAATTGTTTTGTACTGAAGGTTTGTTCAGACGAAGAGACGAAATGGAACTCAATCTGGAGGTTCTCGTCATCAATCACTTTATAACGATCAAAATAACTTCATGTATCTTAATAATCACAATTCATGAATGTTTATTAATTGTATTTATTGTCACAATAATGTTATTTACAGTTACACTTTGAGATCAATAATATATTGACATGATGGTTGAATATATCTAGCGTCTTTTATGCCAGTCTGTTCATTACATGTTTAGGTGGTGGAACCAAGGCAGCTGGATCACTGGGTTGTCTTTGAGAACTAGGCATTGACAAGAGGGCTTGGAGCTGGGAACAACAGAGAATCAGTTCTGACCCAAAGAAGAAGAGTTGGATTTACAGCCCACCCTTCACTTAGAGTCTCAGAGTGGCTTATAGTCTCCTTCCTTTCCTGTTCCCACAACACACAACCAGTGAGGGAGGTGGGCCTGAGAGAGCTCTGAGAGAACTGCTTTTGAGAGAACAGCCCTTCATGGGCTTGGACCCTCATTTGTGAGATGGCCACCACTATGCACCACCACAACAGCTTCGCTTCTCAGGCCTTCTGCAGGAGACAACCTGCAAATGGTCAGAATCAACAACTGCCCATACCTGTGCCTTCTCTGTTGTGGCCCCCACCCTAAGGCATGCCCTGCCTGAGGAAGTCCAGAAGGCTCCCGCTCTCCATGCTGTCCGCAAACGATGCAAAACAAGGATTCCAAAGAGCTTTTGTATGCATGTGATACATGTACTAAATGGCTCACAAAATTACTTGCATAGCTACTTGAAGCGAAATCCCCCCCCCCCCCGAAACCCATTAAGCGATTGGAGAGGGGTGCCACTCTGACGCATTTACATAAACGGAGGAGGGGGGGGAGACAGCCGTAAACGGATACTTCTGAAAGACTTTATTTACAAGCATACAAGCCTGTTGTGGGAGATATCCATGAGCATTTAAACAGCGTATGCGACTTTCAGAGCCGGGAAGAAAGAGATTTTATTGAAAATAAAACGTTGAAATGGCGGGCACTCCAAAAAAGATGGCAAAAACTCGGAGAAGGGAAGTAGACGTCATTGCACTTGTAGCGGAAGCCACTAAGTCAATTCTGGAGCAACTTGCTGGTATTAACCAGCAGCTTGCCAAGATAAATGAACAATTTGTGTCCCGGCAGCTCCAGTTGGCAGCGATAGCAGAAAAAATGGAACTGAGGGCTTTCAAAGCGAATGAGATGGACACTAAATTAAACAGCGATCTCAATGAGAAAAGGAGAAAAAGCACAAGAGAAACAGGAAAGATTTACAAGGATTTAACTCCTTCCTTGCAAGTGTTCTTAGAAAGTGCCATCTTAAATCCTGTTGAGAAAAAAGAGCTGGAGTTTCCCTTCACAATCAAGAAACCTTTGAGATGCCACTGGGCCCCGAGGGCGAGACCAGAGAGGAAGAGGCTTAAGACTGGCGGTTTTATCCCTTTGGACGGAGGAAGACTGGGCTGCAGAATTTGGAGTGAACGTCCAAGAAGCTATTAAGATTTTTGTGAGTTTTAGTATAGATGTAAAGGCGGAAGGACTCTGGAAATTGCCTTTATGAAGCGAGTTGGAGGAGATGCTCGGGAAATCTTCTCATAACAAGTAACAAATTTACATATAAGCTTAGAAAGACAGGTCCTCACAAAGTATATTGTTTATTAACAGCCTTTTTTTTTTTTACTAACGGTAGTTTAACGGAATGATCTCCTAACCTTGGGTTTTTAGTTTAGTGTGGGTTGCCTTTCCTTTCTCCCTAATTGTAGTTCCCCTATCCCTATTTTTTCTTGGTAGTTTTTGTAGTATAAAAAAAATAAAAAATCCCCTCTGGGGGCTTATTAAAAAAAAATTACTTGCGTAACTGATTAGGGACTGTGGTCTGTGCTGCTGTGTTCAGCTTACCGAAACTAGGATCCTACCCATGTAATTTTTGAGTCATTTAATGTGTCATGTTAAGCCTTATGCTTTTGCTTTAGTGCTGTTTTTAGATATCTGATTCCCCCCCCCCAATATATTTAATATTTTTCTGCAACCCTGAGGAAATTTTTGATTTGTATAAAGATCTGTCTTCCCCTTTACAACTCCAGTCACTACATTTAGGCATGCTCAGATTTTGCCAACTTTGCTTTTGGAATATCTGATTTATTTTATTGAAACATTTATCTCCCATTTTCCTTGTGGTTCAAGTCAGCTTACAGTAAAACATTTTCAGCTAAAACAAAAATAACATAGCAAACCTCACATCTCCCCCCCCCTTCCAGTACCTTCTTTTTCTGCCTAAGCATTTCCATTTCTAAAGATTTCTTCTTTCGTAAAATTATTACTGAATAGGTGCCATTGCCAATTCAATATTAGGTCAATGTGGCAGTTTCCAAACTGTGATGAATGTTGTTCAGGTAAAATGTTGACTGTCATTTTGGCGTTGCCAAAATATTCGTGCCTTAGTTACCAAGTGTTCACTGCTATTTTTTGGACAACTTATTCTTTTCTAAGAACTGGGGAATGTTCCCTGACTTTACTGGGCTAATTTTTTTTTTATTCCCTTTTGTTTTCTGCCTAGCTTTGCATTGGATGACAGTGCATCTGAGAGTGCACAGAGTGTCTTCTTACACTGTCAGAAATGCTGAATTATTTTACCAAGAAACTGCAGTCAAACCCACGATGAAGCAGATTAACTAATTTATTGATACATTCTTGCAAGAAAGGGTGCCTACCTATAAGAAAACAGGCACACCCAAGAATCCCATAAACCAAGTATTTAAGGCTAACCCGATGTGTAAAAAAAAAAAAAGTCCCTCCCCTAGAAATGCCATTGGCTGGCATTAAAGTTTACAGAACTAATCCGAATGCCTGAATTTATCATATGTTTCCAGGCCCCCCCAATTACAAAAGACCCCAGACCCATTTTAACCCTGTTTACTTATAACCTTATAAGTCCATAAGCCCTGTTAACACACACTAACAGGACCCCTACCCCACCACAAATTTCATGCTAAGCAGTTGGTCAGTCCCATGAGGCAAGTTTGCAGTCAGCAGTTTCCCGTCAACAGGGTCCCAAACCACGAGAGGTTCCATTTTTATCCTGTTGTTCAGCATCTCAAAACCACTGTCTGGTTTTCACAAGGAACTTCCTTTTAGATATGCCAAGTAGTCTAGCAAAAGCAGAAGAATCAGCATTAAGTATCTTTAGCCAAAGGTGAGCATTTCTACTGCCTATTTAACAACACCTTTATCTCATTTCTCTCAACACCAATGAGCAAGCACAGGGAGGCTTTATAACCCTGGAACTGGCTGTTAAAAGCCACATTTTATGTCTTCCTTAGTTTGAAAAAATAATAATAGTTCTTTTAGTTCCTTCTGTGCACAGCAGCTAGTAAAGGGTTAAGAAGCCGACAGTGTTGAGGTTCCTAGAGAGGAGACGACTTCCTCCTTTGGGGCGCTCTTCCTTTCCTTCCAGCAGAGCAGGAGGGCTGGGTCTTGAGAAGCCAGCCTGGGGGATGCGTAAAGATCAGTGGGGCAGGGAGGAAAAGCGGCCCCAGGCTGGGCAGCCCCACAAGAGGGTCTCTCTGGGTCCCACATGCAGAGCAAGGCCAGAGAGGAAGAGGTCAGGCCGGCCTCCAGTCCAGTGGGACATGATTCCGTTTGGCATAGTTTGCAGACAGCCTGGAGAGCGGGAGCCTTCCTGGTTCCCCCAGGCAGCCCATTTTCGTAAGGTGGGGGCCACAACAGAGAAGGCACGTGGACGGCCAGTTGTTGGTTTGTGCCCATTTGCAGGGTGCCACCTAGAGGAGACCCTGCTCAGAGGAGAGAAGCTGTCATGGGGAGAGGCAGCCACGAATACAGAGTTTGGAGTGGAGGCGCGTGCGGCCTCCCCCCCACTCTTCCCAGCAGTTTTAAAAGAGATCTTTTCAGTGCTGCTGGGAAGAGGCGGGGGCCGCTCCTCCCCAGCATGATGACATCGCTTCTGTGAGACTGCACAATGGGCATAATTTGTATCCTCCCTTTAACTCCCATTAATAGCTGAGCTGTGGTGTCCTGCAGCAACGGCAGCCTCCGTGTTCCTCT